CTTTGAAATTGAGAGGGGCTGCAGACAAGGGGACTGCTGCTCGCCCTTGTTATTCATTCTCTGTGCAGAGATTTTGGGTATATTGGTGCGAAATAATCGTCTCATAAAAGGATATATCTTTAATCATCAAGAGATTAAACTGGAACAGTATGCTGATGACAGCACATTCATACTTGATGGGAGCCAGAGTAGTTTCAGGGCTTGCTTGAAAACAATTGCTGAATTTGGAGCGGTTTCAGGGCTGTCCCTAAATCCACAGAAGTCGGAGCTTTTGTATTCAGGTCCGGGTGAGCCGCCATCCTTTATCACACAGTCAGAGTTCTCATGTGTGCAGGACAGTTTTCGTTACTTGGGAATCATTTTCACCAAGGACATGCATGAAATGGTAGCAGTCAACTTTAAAAGAAAAGTCGAGTCAATAACAAACATGCTCAAGGGCTGGCTCCGACGGCGATTAACTTTATACGGGAAGCGGACGGTTTTAAAGTCACTTGCTTTGTCCAAGCTGACGTACGTCTTGACGGTACTGCCTAATCCTCCAACTGCGATGACTGATGCATTGCAGAAGCAGTTTTTTCCGATTTTTGTGGGACAACAAGCCAGACAAAATACGTCGGTCCCATTTGATAACGCATTATGGCATACCCTGCGTGGGAACGTATGGTAAAGCTATGAAACTTGCTTGGGTGCGACGCTTTTTGACCGTAGAAAATATTGTGGGACCGCAAGTGGAATTGGATAGGCTACTAAGTAGCGGTGACCGTTATATGAACAAGTTTGGCTCGAATATGAATCCTTTTTGGAGTGATGTATTTTCTGCATATGATGAATTCAAGCACGAGCTCGTAGTTGAAGCAAGCGATGTTTGGCAGATTCCCATCTTTTATCTTCCAAAATAGTGATAGGACGGAAGCCCTTTTGGAAACGTAAACTTTTCGACGCTGGATGTAGGTCAATAAATGATATTTACAATTCTCAAGGAGAACTTATGTCTTTTGAAGAATTTAGGAGAACTTATCCTGGGTGTTTGAACGCTTTGACTTTTGAGACATTGCGATGCTTGGTACAGAGAATTTCCATACCAAGTGAATTCGGAGGCAAAAAGCCAATAGGACCGTTCATCCACCCGGCTCTACTGCAAATATTGAACGCCGATTGCAGACAATATTATGATGCCTTACTGAATGTGAGATATAAGAAAACAGATTCTCCATTACCTAGTCAAATTAAATGGAACTCTATTTTGAGTTCTAACATATTTTGGGGGCATATATATTATCGATACAAAAGGTGTTCAAAGAATACAACTTTGATATGGTTTCAGGACAGAATTGTTCACCGAATTTTGACAACAAATACCTTTGCATCGAAATTCATGGACGTCAGCGACTTATGCACCTTTTGTGGTAGGGAAAGAGAGACGATACAACACCTAATGGTAGCTTGCGAAGAAGTGGGTGCGATGTGGCAATCGGTGAAAGATATGATACGTGACCGATTGAAGATTACGCTGGAATTGAACCCTCAGGAAATCATATTGGGATTTGATCCAGCTTTGTACGAATGCCCTAGGGAAACCGCAACAGCGATCCAGCGACTCATTTTGATAGGAAAATGGTACATATATAGTTGTAAGGTTAGAAAAGAAAAGCCAAGGTTTGTGAACTTGTTACAAAAAATGAAAATTCTGACACAAGCTGAATTTATGTACGACCATGACAAGAATGAAAGGGAAATTAGAGTACGAGATATTAATATGGTACTGTGCTGTAACCAAACATGCTAATGTAGTGAGCATCATCTATGTGCGTTGGAAAATGTGGTAATGTGTTGTAAAGAAAATGTGTAATAAAAAGTGATGGAAAAAAAAAGACGACAAGCGATAACGGATTTCGATTAATAGGCGCATATCTTACCATAATTTCGGCTTTGTAACCAATACAACATATTTCAAAACCCTTGATAAGCAGAGCAGATATTTTTTCCCCAAAAAATGTTAGTTTTCTAATTTTACGAGGCAAATATCATGCAATAATGATGTCAATTATACATTCCCTGTCAATTATACCTCTTGGCTAATGCGATAACCTGTAGTTTAGAGGTCATTGCCCTGGGCAGTAAACCCGGGCAGTAAACTTTTGTTTCCTGCCCGGCCTATCAAATAACATGGCATTTTGACACCGACAGTTTCTTGGTCATAGTTTTACTGCCCGGCTCGTGCTGTGCTTAAGACATACCCCGGCATGTAGGAAACAAAAGTTTACTGCCCGAGTTTACTGCCCAGGGCAATGACCTCTAAACTACAGTTTATCGCATTAGTCCAGAGGTAAAATTGACAGGGAATGTATAATTGACATCATTATTGCATGATACGAGTATTTGCCGCGTAAAATTAGAAAACTAACATTTTTTGGTAAATATCTGTTCTGCTTATCAAGGGTTTTGAAGTATTTTGTATTGGTTACAAAGCCGAAATTATGGTAAGATATGCGCCTATTAATCGAAATCCGTTATCGCTTGTTGTCTTATCTTCGTTTGATATGTCCACTGAAACCTTGGGCCTAAGTTAATGCGTTTTTATTTGGCAGTTGTAGTCCTTTCCTCGAAACAAACATGTAAAATATGGAAAATAATAATGTATTTAACGAACGTTTAGCCATAGGGCATATCAACAAAGTACGATTACATAAATGAAGCAAAGATTCTTGCAAGAGCACTGGGAAAATTCACGTTTAATCACTAGGAATATTATACCTTCTTCTTGTTCTTATGTCGTGGCAAATCATTCAAGCATTATGTTCCTTGGATATCCAATTGTTGTGCCATTCTGAGTTGATATTTTCAGACGTGATTCTCTTTGAAGTAAGGTATTTTGATGCATTTTCTTCTATAAATTTCCTTTAAGGCTTTATCCACAGCTGACAGCAGTAGCGCAATCACTGTTAGGAAAATATGGACAAACCAATAATTGTATAAAAGTGTCACCAAAACCTGTCGAAACTAACCTAGCAGGTATGCGGCATGTAGGAAAAATCTTACTGACCTCAGCCGTACGAAATTATTTGGAAACTCGGCTTGCAAAATTTGACTCCGGCCCTCGTGCTTCGCACTCGGGCCTACGTCAATTTTGCAAACCTCGTTTCCAAATAATTTCGTCGGCCCGGTCAGTAATATATATTCCAGCAGTGTTGCTGCTGCGCTGTTAGACCGACTCGCCTCTATTTCGGGAGGTTCGGCAGAGATAAACACGAGCCCCACCGAGCCTACCGACCGCGACCGACCGAACCCAGTGTTTGGAACGGACGGCCAGAGGGAGCAGCGAGGCTGCACTGCTCTCGGTGTACGAATGGAACGTCGTTCGATGTTTAACTAAGCGGACCTGTCCTTGAATTAGCTAAATTAGCAAACAGCAGCTGCTAAACTCACGAAAAAGCGTGCCTTTTTACATGTGCGGCTAGGAAATGAAACGGAACACATAAGAGACGAATATATGACGCATATAGTCAATATCCTATTATCCTAGTCGCATTTATGTAAATAAGTGCAGCAAAATATAAAGTATCTTTGATCAAGTGCACACAATATACACAATGTACGTGTGATTGGACACTGGAAAGCTCATAGCATATGCGCGGGATCTTTCATCCTTCGTTGCAGGCGGATGACTGATGGGTAGAGGGACAACGCGCATTGCTTGAGACAACAATGTCTACATATAAAATGGTATTAATATCTTATTCATTATTGATGCACTTCTTCGTTTAACGAGTCGAAAAGGGACGATTTAATTTAGAATACATAGACGTTTGTAGTTTGTACTATTTCAATAAAGATGAGGCAAAATAAGACATAAATAAGATATAAGTGGCAAAGGTGGGTAGAATTGAGAGACATGTGATTTTCTTTAATTGTTTATGTATATACCATGCTTATAAATTAGATGCGTAATCTGTTTTGTACTTCCTGTCACATCACGGAGGTATCTACCATTGATGAGTTTGCGACATGACCCTTGATGTACCATTAATGGGAGCATTAAAGGCATATTGTGACTACACTCAATTGGAAAAAGTAAGTTTATATTTGAAAGGATCCAAGCTAAATCAAAATGAGCTTTTCATTTCATATTTAGGATATCACATTTTCTGACTTCTGAGTACCTATAGGTCAAACAGAACAGGACCATCGGGTGGGCTAAATATCGTGTGAATACGCATTAAGCCATCCATCAGAGCAGCTCGCTGGATTACAGCATCGTACATCCCTCTTGAATAGCCAGTAACAAGCGTTTGTCATGCGTGTCTACTTGATTATGGATCACAAAAGCACTATTGCTATTTGCTAATGAAAATGCAAGTGCTCACACATGTGCACTTTATTTGCCGGCTTAATTTCGTTCGCTTATATTCACAGCTAAATGGTGTATGAGCCCGTAAAGTACATACTTCATGCACGGCATGTGCCCTCACGGGGCGCCGAAAATGCCAGCCAACTTCCCAGAACTATAAGCTCATAAGCCGCCGCGGCACCAGTGCCGAGAATAGCGTAGTGAGGCGCCCCTGAGGGCTTTGGCACCTGCGTCATAGCGAAGATTAAGAACACTGTCTATTACCCTCCTCGGCGACTGACTCAAAGGCCTCACTGAAACTTGCGGAGCTTGACAATAGAAATGCAAGAAGATAAAAATCACTCCAGACTAACAATTACTTTCCGGGAATCAACAACAAAGCCATAAGAAGAAAGGGAATGTATGTTTTTTTTGACAGCTCGAGTTCAGACAAAGCAGACCAAAAATCCACCGCTAAAGTACAAGCACATGGTCATTAATTTCCCCGTGTGAGTCCAAAACGCATTTATGAGGACTCGTTGCTGTACAAAGACATTTTACGTTCATTTTTTCACATAGGTTGCATCAAAGAAGACAAGAAAAGCTGCCTCAGACGACTATCTGGAAAATTAATAAAAATATAAGATTGAAAACACCCAGTTAGCATTCTCACCTGAACAGTATCCCAGCTGGGACTGTCACCGGGCGAGGTCAGAGGTCAGCCCTGGCCGGGTCAGGGGTCAGCCCTGGCCGGGTCAGGGGTCAGCGCCGCTCCGCGACTCGCCGATCAGGGGACGACCCCACCTGTTGTTGGACCGCGCGGCACACCGTCCCCGACACGCCCTCACAGACCACCGACCGAGCACCGACTGACGGCGCCGACACCGACACCGACCGACGGAGCGAGCCCCGACGGGCGGGTCACATCGACGGAGCGGGCCCCGACGGACGGGTCACATCGACAGAGCGGGCCCCGACGGCCGGTCAGACCGGGGAGTGACGCGGGAGACCAGACCAAACGCAACGCAACTGAGCAAGGCCTCAGAGACCAGACCAAACGCAACGCACCGCAGCGAGGCCTCAGAGACCAGACCAAACGCAACGCAACAGAGCAGGGCCTCAGAGACCAGACCAAACGCAACGCAACAGAGCAGGGCCTCAGAGACCAGACCAAACGCAACGCAACAGAGCAAGGCCTCAGAGACCGGACCAAATGCAACGCCCACAACAAGGCTGACAGTAACCGCAGGAGACCAAACCCGACTCGGGTCAAGTATAGACAGACTAGAGAAGATTAGACGGCACAACAGAGCAGAGAGATCAAACTAGAGCACACCAGAGCAGACCCAGACCCAAAAATATCCATGGATCTAATAAGTAAACCAGGTCGGTTTTCGAAGGCATCACGGACGCAAACGCCAAACAATTGAGAGATCCGCTTAAGTCATTTGTAATTCTGTCTAGTTCCTTTTGAAGTCATATTAACTGCAGTTCTATTTTTAAAAATATAGGATCGCATTCCTGTCTGCAGAGTCCGAATAGGCAAAACCCATCCGTCTAGGAGCAAAAAAACGTAAAAATCAGACCAAATCATGCCGACGATCAACACCGATAGGCGTTATCACAAGTGTATTCGCGGCCTTGGGCGACCGTAAGAAAAGAAGAAAACAAACTGGCCCCAAGAACTTTAAATTATCATTTAGCATGCACCTTTTCCTTGATATCAAGAGAATTTACCATTAATTGTTAGAGAAAATTGATTTAAAATTCCATTCATGCTTTTTTCATCGTTTGCACAGTATGTTCTTTTACTAAGCTAGAAAACTAATTAGAAATAGTTCCCGCATCATCAAGAACAATAGGGAAGGCTTGAAGGAATGAAATAATTTCTAAACGGTTTT